GAGTCTGTCGGACTTGCTGCAGATTGTCTTCCAGCCGGGAAATGAGGCGGGATCTGTCTGACTTGCTGCAGCTTGTCTTCCAGCCGGGAAATGAGGCGGGCTCTGTCTGACTTGCTGCAGCTTGTCTTCCAGCCGGGAAATGAGGCAGGCTCTGTCTGACTTGCTGCAGCCTGTACACGGTGAGAAGCTCACAGTGTGCAGAGGAATCAGAGGAAGCCATTTCAGTGCAGGAGAGGAGTCTGTCCAACTGTCCAAGACCTGAAGGGAAGGCCGGAGTTTGCTTTAATGTATTTCTTGTTATTGAGAATGCAGTAGGAGGAGTGGAAACATACCAAAATGGAGGAGAGCCTGGAAGTACTGTGCAAGATATCATTGATCTAAAGACACAGAGGGGAATTTATCAAAACTGGAGCAGCTGACCACGGCAACCAATCAGCTTCTCTCTTTCATATTCAAATCTTGACTGAACAAACTGAAGAGAGAAGCTGATTGGTTGCCATGGGCAACTGCACTGGATTCTGTCTGCTCCAGTTTTGATAAATCCCCCTCACTATGTGTAAAGTGACATGTTGGTCCTTTCTCATTGTGATACTGAGAGTGTTTTATTTGTCTTTCCCTCAGTGGAAACCATTCTGGGAGTGACTGGAGCAACTATGGGAAGTCTCATCTGCTTCATCCTTCCTGCTCTCATTTATAAGAAGATCCATAACAAGGGCCTGACGTCACAGGTACGTAAAGCTAAACTGCGAAACCTCGTTCTCCGATTCTCTTTCCTTCGACCTTTTGTGTTCCTGTGCAAGAAATGTGATCAGCTAAATAATGAAAACCTTCACAATATATACATATAAAAAAAGGGTAATTTTTAGCCTATTTGCGGTAAAATCTCCATTCCCTGTTCAGTCTATCAATGCTGTGTGCTGATTGCCGGGATAGTCTGGTGCCATGGGGATGACTTTACTGATATGTCAATCATCCCCGCACAGCTACCTCCTCATGTATCACTTGCCCCTCCCTTTTAGATTGTAAGCCCTCAGGGGCAGGGCCCTCCTTACCATCTTGTCTTAAATTGTATTGTGACTGTAATGTCTTCCTTATATTGTACAGCGCTGCGCAAACTATTGGCGCTATATAAATCCTGTATAATAATAATAATATGTTTTGCTTGTAGGAGCTTCATCAGGATGAAGCTCCTGTGAGCCATACTGGTGTTCTAGCAAGCATTGGAGTCTGGAGGGTCGTTACCGTAGTGTGAGGGCTTGCTTTCTGCTGGCCACCATTGACGTCGGGAATAAGATGGCAGCACCCGGATCGGCCATCACAAGGAGAAGACCAAGTTTCAACAAGGTAAAGTCTTGCCACCATCTAAATGAGGAAAAAATGTCCTGCCGCAGGGTCCTTTAAAACCAATATCCGGACAATCTAAAACCCCTCCCACCCCTCACCTTATAACGCAAGTTCTACTCCCTTAGGCTCTGTTCACACCTAGGCTTATCGAATATGCGCGTTTGTCGCGCGCTTCGTGACGCACGTTTTTACCGTGATTCGCGGTAAAAAAGACGCACGACAAACGCGCGTTTCCGAGGGCTACTTGGCTGTATCCCAATGGAAACGCACGACAAAAATGCCGCAAAGAAGCTCATGTACCTTTTCAGGCGTAGGCCGTTCTGTAGCGCGTTCAGACGGGCTGAAATACGGCAAGGTGTGAACCAGACCCATAGAAAACAACGGGATTTTCATGTTTGAGCGTTTTGTAGAGCGTTGAACGCGCTACAAAACGTACAGGTGTGAACCAGGCCTTAAAGTGACATTAAACCCTCAGATTTTTTAAGATAAACCAATACTGTAATGTGCGCCTTACTGTAATCCATGGTTGTTTCACTTCTCTTTGCTGCTCTTCCTTTTAAATCCTCATCTCTTCTCATGCTGGGGGGATAACTTCCCTTTTGCAGCTGAGTGCCTCTTCCTGTAGTGCTGGCTCAGGTTGTGAACCTTCACACAGACACCGTGTATCCATTCCAGAGACAAGGCAGTCTGCTGCAAAACAGAAGTTCTCCCCAGCATGAGAAGACAAGAGGATTTAAAAGGAAGAGCAGCAAAGAGAAGGGAAACAACCATGGATTACAGTAAGGCGCACATTACAGTATTGGTTTATGTTAAAAAAATCTGAGGGTTTAAAGGAGAACTATGGGGTCAGTGTTTTTCCACAAACTAGCGTCCTCCCATTACCCTAAGCTCAGTATACCGCGAGCTACAGCGGTATACTGAGTATACTGAGACTCGCGGTATACTGAGACGCTGCAGCCGGAGCGGATCCCGACGTAGATGACGGGATCCGCCCAGCTGCGTGAGTGACAGCTGGCTCTGCCTATCTAGAGGCAGAGCCAGCTGTACCCGCCCCCTCCCCCGTCCGTTCCGCCAGTCAGCGCTGGCAGATCGGAACGGGGAGAGGGGAATCCAGCCCCTCCCCCTGTCACGGCAGAGAGCCGTGACAGGATCGAGAGGTGAGCGAACCCGGTATGTGTTCTCTCACCTCCCGATCTACTGAGCCGGCCAGTGACAGTCTCATTGTCACAGGTCGGCTAGAACTATGAGGTGAGTGGAAATCACGCCGCTCATAGTTCTCCTTTAATATTTGCCTGGAAATGGGTTTTAACAATAATTGCTAATTTCAGCATAAGTGCAGTAAAAGACAATATTGGTTTTGTGCCCTGAGTATGTCTTTGGGTATATAGAAGGCCCCTACGTGACCAGCAGGATATACCGTATACAGAGCAGTGTCCTGCAGGGCCACCAAGTACCCTTAGGACCTGTGCAGTCCAGATGTTACAGCTGGACCGCCAACGCCTTATAATTCTGCCAACAAGTAGTTAATTACCGAAAACAGGAAGCCTCGGCTGGCTCAGCGGAGAGGAGGAGAGCAGCAGTCCGAGCAGGCCAGGGGAAGTTGAAAAGGGCAAATTAGCAAAGCTGTGAAGAGATGAGAACCTGTAAAGGTTCTATTAATCCTTCATTGTCCTCAGTTTCATGCAGCAACTGTGGCTAGCGGGTCAGCCCGGGGACACTCACACCTGCGGCCGGCGACGGGGCGCAGTCTTTAGCCGTGCTGTAACTGCTTTCCGCGCGGCACACCGGATTTAAAACAGTTGCCATCATAAAGCAGGCGGTATACATCTATCCCCATCGGAAGGAAAGGGGTTGTAATTGCTCACTTTAGGAGTTGTGGGCAAGGAGTTCGAACCGTTCTCTCGTCACCCCACTCTATCATGTTTTTTTTCCTGAAATAGATTGACATGGTGCTCTGGCTTTCCTCTGACTTAAAGGAGAATTACGAGGCGAGTGAAAAATCCCTCATTCTCATAGTTCGAGCCGGCGTGTGACAATGAAACTGTCACAGGTCGGCTCAATAGATCGGGAAGTGAGGGAACACATACCGTCGCTCGCTCACTTCTCGATCTATCCCTGCAGAGAGCCCTGACTGTCACTCACGGCTCCCTGCAGGGATTCCCCGCTCCGATCCTCCAGCGCTGACTGGAGGAACGGACGGGGGAGGGGGCGGGTACAGCTGGCTCTGCCTCTAGATAGGCAGAGCCAGCTGTCACTCACACAGCTGGGTGGATCCAGATAGTATTGTCGGGATCCGTCCCGGCTGCGGCGTCTCAGTATATCGCGAGCTGTAGCTCCCTATATACTGAGCTTTGAGTGACGGGAGGACGCTAGTTTGTGTCCTCCCGTTACCCTTAGGAGAACTATGGGGAAAAACACTGACCCCATAGTTCTACTTTAACTCCCGGACAAACCGCGGGATAAAATACATATGTGAGCTTTTTATCCATGTCCATCCAGTCCTGAGGTTTACACAGAAGGTTTATAAGGCCAAAGGTTTGTGGACATCTGGCCATTGCACCTACCTATATGGCCAAAAGTATGTGGACCCCCCTCCAAATTATTTAGTTCAGAGGTCTCCAGTGAAGGTTCTGTTAATCCTCCATCATACAAAGACATTGTAGACAGTTGTGATCTTCCAGCCTTGTGGTCACAGTTTGGGGAAGACCCTTTTCTGTCCCACCATGACTGTCCCCTGTGTACAAAGCCAGCTCCTTAAAGACACGACCAGCTTGGTGTGGAGGAACTCGAGTGTCCTGCACAGAGCCCTGAGCTCAACCCAACTGATCACCTTTGGGATCGATTGGAACGATGATTGTCAGCCAGGCCTTCTCATCCAGCATCGGTGCCTTGATCTCACAAATGGGACCAATACCCACAGACACCCTCCAAAATCTTGTGGCAAGCCTTCCCAGAAGAGTAGAGGATGGTATAGCTACAAAAGAGGGGAGGAGAGGAGCAACTCTATATTAACCCTCATGGTTTACATCAGGAGCACCCCTTTACATCCCTATGTTTGCACTTCAGACCTCAGATCAGCCCCAATGCATGCACGTGAGTTGTCAGATCAGCCTCCATGAGTGCCCTCCAACCCCAATGCCTGTCCTTCAGATCAGCCCCACTGCATACAATTGAGATGTCAGATCAGCTCCAACGAATGCCCTTCAAACTTCAGATCAGCCTCAGTGCACGCATTTCAGACCTCATCAGCCGCAAACCTTGAACCTTTAGTAACACAAGGTATCGTTGCAGGCATGCATCATGCCAATGTCCTCCGCCACCAGCGAGCTTTCAGTGACATTAAGGACATGGGTGGGCCAAGCTTTGTGATTGACATCATAGTTGGCTGTCAAAGCGGTTAGTCGATGGCATGATTGAGCTGCTAAAATTTGCCCCGGCACTTTTGCCATTACTGAACTCAGGCAACAGTTTCCACCCAGTAAAGTTTTCCTGTTGCAGCTGGAGGGATCTTCCCATCAGCCCAAAACTGAGGAGCTGGAAGTGCCTCTTATGGTACAGTGACCTGAATTTCTTTTCTATTCACAGCTGTGCCGAGAACAGAGATTATGGAGCAACCCGGAGGAAAGGGCAGCGTTACAATGCGTTAGGAAAAGTAGGTCAGGTCACTGGTAGAATCCCAGGCCAGTTCATGCCACGGGACTGTGTAATGTTCACTTTGACCCACATGTCTCCCTTACAGGGATCTAGAACAGACATTAACCCCGTAAGAGCAAAGCCTGTACAGTCCTATCGCTTCATTTACTTTGTATCTGTGCATGTCATTGCAAAGATCCTTTAATGACATCTTATCCTGTTGGCTCTCCTGTGTGCTTTAAAGGATAAGCGCAGTTATGTTTAAAGGGGCTGCAAAACGGTAAACCCGATCACTAAAATCTCATATATGTTTATGTAATTTCCAGTCTTCAATCTTACTAATTCTGTGGCTTTCAATGAAAAAAAAAAAATAACCTCTGGTGATCATGCCAAGGAAGGTACTTCTTTAGGGACTTTGTGTTAGTGTGACAACATTCTGTATCTGTCTCCCAATTGTGCTTTTGCATTGTCAACCTGAGTATCCATTGTAGGCTACAAGTAATCCATTTTGACAAAAATGATACCAGTGTTCTATCGAAAGCTCCAACTCATCCAAATCTCCAACTACCTCACTGCCGGTGCTTAGAAAGACCGGAGCTCTGTACAGTTGCGGTGCGCATGCGCGCATAGCGTTTTGAGAATACTCGTGGAGTTTGCCACCTGCTGAATATAGTTAACATGCAGTTGTGCGGAGCTCCGTCAGTCTTTGTGTCTCGCCGTCTGGTCGAAATCTTTAACTGCAAGTACCAGGCAGTGAGGTAGTTGTAGATTTCGACAAGTTGGAGCTTTCCATAGAACACAGGTTTATCCTCATCTGCAGAAGAGGTCATGTGACCAAATGCCTAGGCTTTAAGCCACATTATCAGCACTAGAGGGGACAGCATTTTCTTGCAGGAAAGGCAATATTGTACTCGTCTACCCCAGCATGGCTGGTAACAAAGCTAGGAAAGGGGCCGCTTTTGTAGCTCAAAATCTACACAACTGTAAATAAAGCTGAAGCCATAGAGCAGGGGTAACCAAACTCTGGCCCTCCAGCTGTAGTAAAACTACCAATCCCATGAGGCATTGCAAGATTCCCACAGCCACGGCACCCAGAGACAGATGCATCATGGGATTTGTAGTTTCAGCACAGCTGGAGGGCCGGAGTTTGGTTACCTCTGCCATAGAGTGAGATGCGCCTGCATGCACTGTCTCACTCCTTGCAGGTTGCTCTAGAATCCTCCAAACTCAGGCAAAAACGCACAACAAATTGTGTTTCCCTCTTCACATCGAAGTGCCCCCTTCAGATCAAGACACCCCCCCCCCCCCCCCCCC